TGTGCCATTCAATATTACACTTTGAATTACTTTCAGGCCAAGCTGCTGCATTTTACACTATTTTCTTTTAATTCCTACTTTCAGGACTTTCTTTTCTTTCTTTATTTAGTGTAAATAATATATGTTAAATAGAAATAATCTTTATTTAATGTAATTTGTTTTATTTTATTGCATTCATTTAATATCTTGATATGTTTTGTAAGCATTTGTGTGGTTTGCAAGTCAAATCTGCATGCACAACACATGAATATAACACACACACACACACACACACATGTGCACACACGCATGCACAAACACCAGCAAAATAACATCAATTCAAGGAAAATTACCATTTCCTAACAAGACATTTCCTGTATTTCAGGGATAAGACATTGGTTAGGATAATAATGAAAGATTTTTACCAATGTCAACAATAAACCTGGAATCGCACGTCCTTTATATGATGACAGAAAACCAGTTTGGATCATATCCAAAGTTGTTGTCAAAGTAAAAGAGACCATAATCTAGAAAAGTGTCTGAGCTATTTGTTAGAGTATTGATCACGACTGCTGAGATCTGTTTTCAGGAATACAAATATCCAAACTCACCCTCAAGGAGCTTTCTCTTTATTTTGTCAGAATCTGATTCTTTAAAAAGTCTGATGTCTCCTTTTCAGAGGAGTGGCTGTGATGTACCTCCTTACAGACCTCTGTGGAGGGGCAGTGCATGAGATCTCCTTACACACCCCTGTGGAGGGGCAGTGCATGGGCTGCTCCTTACACACCCCTGTGGAGGGGTAGTGCATGAACTGCTCTCTACTAGTGACTTTCCTCATTGTTGGAAACCAATACCAAAGAAACACCTTAAGTGGGGCAGGGGTTCTTTTGGTCTACCATTGGGAATTTGTTTAAAGAGCTGGCAAGTTTCCAAACCGTGCACGCATCTTCCCGAGGCAGCCAACAAAGTGGCTTTCACTAATCTTCAGATTTACTGATGTGTAAATCTCTAGGAACTCTACAGAACAGGGATGTAGTTCTTAGACACACAGCAAAGAGATCACTAGGCAATAACACAAAAATCGGAAAGATGAAACATTTAAACATGTAAGGGGAAGTTTTCAAACTTAATCTTAATTTGAACAATTCAAATCGAAATGATACTCCTTTTTGACTAAACTAATTAGCAGGGAATTTTAAATGCTAATGAAGAAAAGATCGAGTATAAAGCAGATATTCTCAGGCATTGAACTTGGTGGACAGACTGTGACAGCCTCCTGGGAAGACATCAGTTTGGTGATTGAAGTACGTGCTGCTTGATGAAAGACGAGATTTTGGAAGCTCTAAGATCTGCATATCAAAACAAGGTTGTGTCTCAACATGTTCGTCAAAGCGCTTATTAGAATAATAAAATATTAGGAAAACCCCACAGTATTCAAATAGGAGGAAACAGAATTATCATAACATTTACTTATAATAAGATGTTTATGATACTAGATGAAAAATAAACAATTTTATTTATTTATTTATATAGATTTGGTTTTATTTATTGCATATATGAAGAGTGTGTATGCATGTTTGCATGTATTGGGGTGTAGTGGATAGCTGTTCTGATTATGACCTTGAAGCACCGCCCCTAGAGAGGCAGCAGGTAACTGTTACACCTGCCTATGACCTTGAAGTACACGTCCCTGGAGTGTGGCCTCTCGGGACCCTTAAGACCTGGGATGCACATATGTGGCCCTCTCTTCACTCCCTCATGGTTTGAATGCAGAGACGGACCAGGCAGATCTTGGACCAGGAAGAAGATCAGTGTGGACCATAGCTCAGTTTTTCAGGCTGTAATGAGTTTTATCTTCGAATAAATTCCTTTGCTTGTTATACAGACTCCGTAGATTTCAAGCAATATTGGGGCACACCCATGTTCCATGTATATGCACATGGGTATGGAGGCCTGAAGATGACATTGAACCACAACCCTAACCCAAACTCCCTTCTGGAGATTTTTCTGACTGCTTGGTGCAGAGGTGGGCCAACAGGTGTGAGAGCTCAGTTGCTTTTCTCCCTAGGGAAGAAAGAGGAGCAGAGTGTGTCAGCTCTGAGCTGCAGAGAGCCTGGCACCAGTCAGCAGGAAGAAGGTAGGGGCTGAGCACCGGAAATGGACTGAGGGGACCAGACAGGAACAGGAAGCCCCAGGATTGTGTGTGTGTGTGTGTGTGTGTGTGTGTGGCCTCAGAGCCTGGCAGGACTCTGAGTCTGAGTCTTCTGATAGCAATCAGGAGCTCTGAAGGAAGGAGATCTGGAGGGTAGAGGGTCAGGTGACCTGGCTCAGTCTTGGAGGAATCCAAGCTGAGCCCCAGAAGTCATTAGGGATTGCATCTTGTTCTTTTCAGTGCTGAGACATGAATGGAGACATGAATTTGAGAGAAGCAAGGCATGTGGTCCCATCTGTGCTTTGGGAAAGTTGCCCTAATTTCACACCCAGCCTCCACTTCCCAAAAGCTATATGCAAAGGGGCCAGGGTCGGGATGGAGATACGGCAGCGTTAGTGAGAGGAGCCCCGTAAACCTGGTAAAGACCTGTGGAGTACTGTGAAAGGGAGGCCTGGAGTCGGAGGCTGGATCCCTGCTAGAGGGCCTGGATCCTGGAGCAGCTCTCTCTCTTTCTCTGCCTTGCACTTGTGGATCAGGTGCAAGCTCTCAGCTAGTTTTTCAGGGTCATGCCTGTGTGTCTGCCTGCTACCATGCTCCCCATCATGGTAATCCTGGACTCTAATCCTCTGGAATGGTAAGCCCCAAGTTAAATGCTTGTTTTTGTTTTTTAATAAGTTGCCTTGATCATGGTGTTTTGTCACAACAATAGAAAAGTAACTAAGACACTGTGGCTTTTAAAGCTACATTCCCCAAGGCTATAATTTACAACAAAGCGTAAAGCTTGAAATTTAAGTATGTTTTAAGAAGCAATTAAAAAATACATGATCTGAGAGTTGGAGAGATGGCACAGTGGTTAAGAGGTCTCACTGATCTTTCAGAGAACCTGAGTTCAGGTCCCAGTAGCTACTGCAGGTGGCTCATAACTGTCTGCAACTCTAGCTCCACATGATCCAATGCTCTCTTCTGACCTCCACAGGCACCTGAACTAATATCCCATAAGATGATCCAGCCTCACAGACTACTCTAGCCAGGACTTGAGACAAGCCCTGCACTTTCCCATTATGCAGAGGCTGGACAACGAATGACCTAGCTACCTCTCCCAGGACTTGACAATTCACCTAAATTATTCCTTTCAGGATCCCCTAAAGATGCCATCACCCCCAAATGTCAGGAAGTAAGTGTAAGAACCTGATGCCCACATTTCCAAGAGGTGGGGTGGGTTGTTTTTGGTTTTTCAATGGGTTATGGATATTTGTCATAATTTAGGGTCGTTGGTTACAAATTGTTATTGGTAATGGTCAGGAAAAAAGCTGAACAAAGGAGTTTAGATTCAGGGTTCTTGTTTTGAAAAAGAAAAAAGAGAAAAAGGGAATACAGAAATGATAGGATAAAGGGTAGATTATTGAATCTACTCTGAAAAAAAAGGGGGGTATAGAAACAGGATAAAAAGTAGATTATTTGAATCTACTTTTTAAAAGCAACTACTAGTTTTAAATATTCTATGTTGATATGGATCTTTGTGTACTGATAAAAATTGGACCCTCACAGCCCTAATAAGGAAGGCTTAGCCACCCATTCTCAATAGGCTAATTAAAGAGGCAGGTAACAGTGAAGAGCAGAACAAGAAGATTTATTCAATGCGGCTCCATTGTAGAAGAGGAACAAGAGGCCCAGTGATGCCCTAAATATAAATATAAACATAAATATAAATATAAATATAAACCTGACCAGAGGCTTAGGTTTAGAGGCCAAGAGGTATGCATACTAACCAGCCTGGGTCAGAGAGGTCACTCACTGGTTCCCCACGGTGAACTTTGGTGGAATCATACTTCAGGCTTGTTCTTGGGACTTTATGAGAAGAGGGCAGACATTGTTTATATCTCCCCGGGTGTGGAATTTTCACAATTACCTACTGGGAGAACACTGGTCCAGATCCAGAAACAGGAGGAGGGAACATGAAAACAGGGGACACCAAAGGCATGGTTATTCTACATTCACCTACTGGCACCTGGCCTCAGGAAACCCCAGGATCCCTATTTTAGGATTTACTAGTGTAGTCTTGCACAGGTTATTTTAATTGTCATGTTTTTTCCCTAACAGCAAAGCATGGCAAACTTAACTGTGCTGCAGTAGTAACGCTAAGTAAATGATAGTTTCCTAAATACAGTGTCACTGCCTCAGCGTTCACTAAGCAGAAAGCGAGACTGTAGGATGAATGTAACGATCTCCCCCGTGTTTGAAGCAATAGAATGGTCGATACCGATAAGGCAGGGGAAACAACCTCTGCTTATATTTGAGGTGATGCAGAAACTGCAGAGGAAGAGTTCTAATTTTAAAAATGTAAAGCTATTAGCTCTAAGCAGGACACGGTGTTGCCCGTGTTTAATTTCTGGAGAGGGAGCCTATACACTAAAAAAGTGGTTTTTTTTACTGATCTCCCTGCTTGTGTTTCCGGGCGCAGAAAAGCTGAGCCGCACAGTCCCGCCCACCGGAGGCGGGTCCCCGCCCACAAGCCCCGCCCCGTCCGCCTTCCTGACCACGTCTAAGGCGGGACTCCAGCCTCGCTGGCGAACCTCGCATCTTGGCCCCGCCTTCCTATCCGGCTCCGCCCCACCCGCCCTTCCGCCGCCTGGCCTCCACCTCCGGCTCCGCCCCCTCCTGGGTCCCCCTTCCCATTGGTCTCTCGCTGCGCCGTCTGGTCCAATCGCAGCACTTAGCGCCAGAATTTGAACCGCCGTTTTCGTTTGAATCGGGCGGGCGCGGCGGGCAGGCTTGGCGCGGAACTGCTTTGGGAGGCACTCTG